ATTAGGAACAGGTGCCTCGCTAGTAGTAACAATGTTTGCTATTAGAATGACTCTCGTTGACAGGTCTTCTTCTCGGTGCTGCTGGGGGCTGACGCTCTGGCGCCATACATCGGCCGCTTGAGGTGGTCGAGTGTCCGTGTCGGTCTCTGTCAAAAGTAGCGATGGCCTCCAACCTCGTTTCATTTCATTTTCGTTATTGCCTTTCATTTTTTTAGGGAGTCAGCATGCTGAACATGCGTTTTTGTCACTCAAGCACTTCACATGTTGCTTCGCTTGACAAAGTCAGAAATCCTGCCAGCTCCTTTTTGATGTTTGTTGCGAGTTTCCTCCTGCAAGGATCACTGAGATGTTTGGACAGGACTGATGGTCAACATTCGTTCGTTATAGAATTTGGTCCATGGATTCACTATGTTTAACTCGTTTGTTCCTAGTAGCGTCCTTGCTCCTAGTAGCGATGCCCTTTGTTACTAGTAGCGTCATTGTTCCTGTTTTGAGCCCCACCAAGACCACGGTCCCACCAGGGTTCCCACTAGTCGCAGTTTCTCAACTTCCACGAGCGTCCAGGACTTCTTTGAAAGGCCAGGTTTGAACGATACAGAGTTTAGCCAGGCTGGAGAACAGAAAAGACCCGCGAAGAAACTCGGTGAAACTCGTTTGGCCAGGCGCGAAGACAGGTCAAGCTCGCAGTCACCCTTGCAGAAAAGCCACTTGCAGAAAAGCCCGTCTCCGAAACGGTCTGGCGAACGAAACGGTCTGGTTCGGATACCAAGGTTGGATTGCATTCGTTCGGGTGATCGTGGGAAACTACAAGAGGCGAACGAAATTTGTTTCTACTAGCTTTATTGTTACTGGTAGTAAGGCACCTGTTACTACTAGCGTGGCACTTGTTACTAGTAGCGATGCCCTTGTTACTAGTAGCTTATTGAAAATTTTGAAGAAAAGATGATGAAAATAAGCCGAAAGCCTTTTTGAGATTTGTCAGGCCAGGGATGAAGCCCAAGGACAGAGTCGACAAGTCATGTCAAATGTCAATCTGCCGTTTTTTTTGGAGTCTTTTTGTTCTTTTGTTCTTTCTTCCTTCATGTGTTGATTTTGCCAGGCATTTTGGAGAAAGATCCTTCGTTGCAGCGCTTCATCTCCGAGATTGCTTGGGTCTATAGTAACAGAGCCGATTGGTTCCTCGGCAGCGAATGAGACTTGTGACTCCCAAACAGAACGCCCAAAAGGGCACAGATGACATCGACAAAGATGCAGCAAGGAGGCTACCAACGGGGCTCCTGGCCGTACTACTAGGAGCAAGAAGCTATTAGGAACAAGAAGCTACTAGGAAC